TCCTCTCTCCTAATTGATTTGCTTCGTCATTCCTTTGTGTTGGTGAACAAGAGTGAGTTTGGATATCTTTTTCCCATTCTCTGCAAAACTTCAATTGGGGAAAAAAAAAAAAAATAAATACCAGTAGCAATAAACACATACACACGGCAGGGGGTGGGGGTGGGGGTGGGGGGGGGGAGATAAAAGAGAAAACAGCGCTCCTGACCCCAGCGAGGCTCGAGTGCCCACTACCACATCCTGCCGCAGAGGTGGCCCTTCGGTGCCCGGGTGGCGACAGGGGCAGCTGCGGTGGCAAGCGCCGGGGTGCGCGTTTTACCGAGCAACCCGCCGGTCACCCACCCCTGCCCGGCGGCTGGGGGCGGGGGGAGGCCCGGGAACAACAAAGCGGGCTATAAAGACTCCAGGTGGTGGGTGTATTTGTTGTCCTGTCTGCGAGGTGCGGTGGCTCCCCGGCCCCGGCAGATCCCAGTGCTGCTGTGGACATTAAGAAAAGTCTCTTTTGGCTGATTCCAAAACCAGATAAGGAGCCGCCGAGCCACCAGCTCTGTCTAGACTCCGGACCTCACAAGTCAAACGGGTTGTTTGGATTAGCCTTGGAGATCTACCGACCTGAACAGCCCTCCTAAAGAAAAGCCACAGTAACACCCTATTTTCCTCTTCCCATTGCTGCCCAAGGTCTGCCCGGAGATAGTAGCCGAGCTCTGCTTTGGTCTGTGTCACTTATTTCTGGAAAACTTTTCAACCCTCTCTCTCTTCCACAAACACACCTTGCTCTGTTTTGTCTGCCAGAAGAAAATAAAATAAAACAAAACAAAACAAAAGTAGAGACACTCAGCAAAAATCCTGTTTTGCAACCTTCCTTCTTCCTTCTCTTCCCCCGCCAAACACCCCAGGAGAAACCCGGAGCTGCAGGTAATCGATCCAGCTGCAACCGCGGCGGAGAGAGGCCGTGCCACCCCCCCGGGCTGCTGCCCCTGTGCTGCCGGTCCCGGGAGACCCGGCCCGGCGCGGAGTGGGGGCCAGCCGCGGCGGGGCTGCGCGCCCCCTCCGCCTCCGACGCCCTCCTCCCCGGCCCCGGACAAGTCCGGAGCGCTTGTTTGGTGGCGCTTAGCCTCGGCAAGAAAAATCAGCGAAACTCAAACGAAACGGCAGCTGGAGTAAAAGCCGCATCTCACGGCTGGGACGCTGCGAAGGGCAGCGCACGGAGCCTGCCCCGACCTCCGGCACGGGCAGGAGGCTCGGGGAGAGGCACCGACTAATTTTACACCGCTTTCCCCTGGCTAGTGACGGCAGATACCATGCAATATGGAAAGCTCGGTCACACAGGCGAGACTCCCCCACCCCCGCCCCGGTGCCTGCCTCCTTGGGAGCTGCCTTCTCCCCCTGCACTTCACAAGTCCCGGGAGGTGAGGAGTGATCCTCCAGCAGAGCCGGCACACTGGGAGCTGTTAAGTTTATGTTTGTGGCGCCTGAGCTCAAACAGTCATTCAGTGGCTTGCTCTGTTATCAAGAAAACAACAATCAGGAACAATCAGTAAACAGGATCTCTTTCCAGCCCCTTTATTAACTACTTACAGCTCCGCTGAAGCACGCAAAGCGCCCGGCAGCGGCACCTCTCACGATGTCGGCGCTTCGGGAGTGCAGAGGGGCCGAGGGCGGCTCGGTGCCCGTGAAACCCGCCCGGCACCGCGGACCCTGACCCGGCTCCGGCTCCGGCTCCGGCTCCGGCTCTGGCTCCCTCCCGGGCGCTGCACTGGGGCTGCGGTGGCCCGAGGGCCGCCACCGCCGTGGAGGCCCTCATGCCTTCCCCGCTGCCCATTTTGCGGGGTGACCCAACAAGGATTTGTTAAGATGTGTATGTATACATACGTATATAAAGGCAAGCACTTACCGTTGAGATGTTCGGCTGATCCCAACACTGTAATTCACATCCCCGGCTTCTGCGTCTCACTGCTACACTGGCTGGAGATGCTGAGAGCTATTTAACCTAGTACAAATATTGAAATGAGAAGAGTTTGAATACTGATCTCTCAGTAATAAACAAAATTCTCAGAAAAATTACAGCAGTCTTTAACAGACCTTATTTGACATTATTAAGAGAGGCTGCGGCAAGGAGAAAACAGGCGGACCTAAGACTGCTAATTGTCGCCCTCGCCCATATCACAAAGAGGCACCAATGCAGGAACCTGCACAGAGCACCGTAAGGACATGCGTTTTATGAAGAGAATGTTTTCTCTCGCTTGCACAAATCCTGCTGCCCCAGCTCAGGAAGGGTGTTCCACTGAAGATGCTAGGAGGGACTGCTCGAAAGTTTGCCTCTATTTGCTCCACAGTGGATAATATTCAAAGGTTTGGGGGAGGGAAGAAATATGCAACAAATACATGAAATGGAAAAGGGAACCAAAGGCCATAAAAGAACCTCCTCTGACCCGCAAAATAAATAATCTTAAAATAAGACGAGGTTTGTTTAGCTGAAGTTTCGAGGGGGCAGGCTGCGGGGTGACCTCGGGGCCGCAGGTCTGCACAGAGGCAGGCCGGAGCGGGGTGGCGGTGGCCGTGGGGACGCAGAGGCGACCACAGCACAAACACACACATTCTCATCCCCCCCCGGAAGGCTCGGGGGACGGCTCAGGCCCTCCGTGGGGGTGCAGCCACATCCCGAGCGGAGCTCCCGAGGGGTCGGAGCACGGCTGCAGCCCTCTGACGAGACGCTGCCCTGTTGTGCTTTGAGGAGCAAGGCGCTCCGCCGGCAGCCCAAACACAAACCCCCTTGCCTCCCGGAGGGGCGCTTATCTCGGCGGCAGCCCCCAGCCGCCGGGAGGGCGCGCCGGGACCGCGGGGCGCCGCGCAGTGCAGCCCCGGCCCCGCGCAGGGCTGGGGGGGCGGGGAGCGGCCTTCCCCCTCGCAAGGAGCGACAGGCAAAATTCGCCTTTCACTCCTGCGCGGCCCTCGGAGACGACAGACCTTCACTGTCCAGAAGGTCCTGACCGGCGGGGGGGAGTGTGGCGGGGGGGGCTCTTAGCGGCGCCTCGGCGCGCAGGTTGCTCTCCCGCGGGGTCACCCCCGCCCCGACGTAACCCTGCGCCTCTCCCAGCGGAGTGGCCGCGCTTCCCATCTACGCGTTAGCCTCCGGGCGGTACAAGGAGAACGCAAAGGCCCCCGTGTTGCCTTGACCTTACAGATTTTCAGCGCCAATTAAAGACCGCCCCCACACACACACCCCGAGTCGGAGACTCGGTCTCCAGACTCCCCCTTTCCCCTTTTCCCTCCCGTCAGCAAGAGCGTCTCAAACAACTTACACGTTAGACCACCGGGCAGAAATGACACCCTTCCTCCCTCCCGCCCCCCGAAGCGCCGTACTAAGCCTCTGACCCTGCACGAAAACACAAAGGTTACTGATCACACAATTTAAGGTAGATTTCATATTTATTTAAATATTTATCAAGTACTCAAAAATGTATTACACTTGAGCATACAAAATGAATCCAGTTTCTAATCAGGATGATTGAAATCCTTGTATTAGACTTTTATCCCTTTTTTTAATGTTCTCACTACTGTCGAAATGGTTTGTCTCTATAGCTGAGCTTGCTCAGGGTGGGCTGAGATGGTGAGGAGGGAGGAAAAAGAAGGTTATGTTAAGAAAACATTAGAGTTTGGAGTAACTGTCATGCAAACCAACTTGTCTTTGTCAGACTAAAAATCTCTGTATATTCCAGTTGTGAAGGTTTTTTTAAAAGGAGCCTTTGTCAGGTCCTGGCCAGGAACACTAGGGAGTACTTGGATTGGAGCAAAAACAACCCTTTCCAATGTTTTTGTTTTGTTTTGTTTTGTTTTTGTTTGTTTGGGGTTTTTAATTATTTATTTATTTATTATTTTATTATTATTATTATTATTATTATTATTTTATTTATTTCTACTTTTCCCCAAGAAGTAGCCCACATTTCTACTTTCACCACCCTCTCCCCCACAAATTAAAAAAGGAAGAAAAGAGGGAGTGAAGAGAGGAAAGTCGACAGAAAATAAGGAACACCATTCGTGCAATTTCACAGCAATATCCCCTCAATTTGCAGCATTTTTCAATTGTTTTGACAGCAGACACTGATAAATAATGGTCATACTTGACTTGTTAAGCAAAAAGCATCCCCTTTATCAGCTTATACTTAAAGTACAGGTCACTTCAACAATCTCAACAACGAGGCTTTGGTATACAGCACTTTCTTTTTATTATTATTTTTTTAAAAAATAATAGAACTCAGCAAAAGCCTGAGCTCCCAGTTCTTTAGATGTCTTAACGTTATGTCAGATCATGCCTAGAGTAATATCACTTTTAAGGGCAAGGGATGGGGGCAGGGAACAAGAGAGTTTCTAACGTTATCGATTGAAAGCTAAGGCATCCAACTAGCCCTGATATAGTTGTTGAAACGGAAATTTACAAGCTGGTCGTTAATACTTGCAATAAAATATCACACTCTTTTTATTCACTAACGACCTGCTTTGCATGCAATATTTTATTTCAGGTATTTTAGCTGCTAACTTGTAAATATTTAAGAGGGAACTTTGTTCATTATTTAATATTAATATTATTATTATTTTTCTATTTCAAACGCTTATTTAGTGAAATAGTCCTGAAGATATAATAATTCTACATATGGCGGGTTTATTTCACATAATATTTAAGAAAAAAAAAAAAAAAAGAAAAAAGACAAAACCCACATAGAATTAGACATATAATTCAAAGACCACGGTACAACTTTTTCTTCTTTTTTTTTTTTCATTTTTTTCTTTTACTTCAGCAAACAAAAAAAAATAGTCAAATGACATGAAAAGTGGCAAGTCTTCCTATAATAAATAATAAATTATTTTATAATTTTGTAATGCAAGAGCAAACTAAAAGGTTTTTTTTTTTCTTTTTTCTTTTTCCTTTTCCCTTTTTTCTTTTTTTTTTATTTTTCTGTTTTTTTTCTGTTTTTTTCTCTTTTTTTTCTTTTTTTACTTTTTTTTTTTTTTTTCTCTTTATTGAGAGAGAGAGAGAAAGAAAGAGCGAGAGAGAGAGAAAGAGAAAGATAAAACAGTCGTTTTAACCAATGACTATACACATCTCTGGGGGAGGGGAAGTTTCTTGGACCAACACATTTCCAACACAATCCCGAGACGCTTTGTGGCAAAATAGAGGTATACCTTGTTGCAATGCTTTTAGAAATCGGTTTTTAAAGAGGAATTCAAAAACCTATTTTTAATCGCTTCAGAGTTGATAGAGGGTGGATCACAACCAAACAAAACCAAAACCCCGCTACAGTACATGCTGGAAGAGACCCAGGAAACAACCCCTTATTAAGAGTCAACTAAAAACAACATTGCAAACCAATGCAGCTCCACCTTCCTGCAATGAATCTTTCAACAATGCAGGGCTAAATCGTCTCTTTCCTGATGATGGAAAACCTACTGGAGCTCCTTTTGGCAAGGCAATCACCAATATAAAAAAAGCACCATTAGGATTGGGAGGGACAGGATAGAAAGTCCCTCTACCTTGGTTTCTCCCTAAGATGTGCAGTCAAATGAAAAGATCAATTTTTTTCACGTTTTTTTTTTTTTTTTTTTGACCCACAAGTACAAATCCTTTACGTTTTGAAAACGTCTTTTCGATCTTCCTCTGATCATTGAGTAGCGCAGGGTTTGGGGTTTTTTTTTAGTATTTATTCTAGTAAGATCCCATGATTGTCTTCACAGTGTTGCTACCATATTACCTTGTCTTTTCAAACATGACTCCGTTCATTTCATGGAGTGGTTCCTTGCTAGGTTCATTACAGGGTTGTTAAATACTTTTTCCCCCTAAATTGCAGAGTCCCAACACGATCACTTTCCCACTCTCTCCAACAGGGGTGAGGGTAAGGGCAGAAACAACAACAACAGAAATCTGAATGAATGTTCCTCATGCCTCAATAGGACTGGCTACCATGCTGTTGGGCGTATCTGGCAGCTGAGAAGACATTGATGCTACTTCACTTCCAGTAGAGTTGGAACCGGGTCCTCCTTCTGAAAAATTAACCTGCCAAAAAAAAAAAAAAAAAAAAAAAAAAAAAAAGAAGAGAAATAAGAAAAATATATGCTGCTACAACTGTCACAATCAAATAAATGGCAAAGGTGAAGAAGAACGCAAAAATAAATACACAGGCATGCAGCCGAAAGGCCTGATACATCTCCACAGCAGGCTGTGTCACTGTTGATTTGTTTAGCTTCCCAATTGATTTCACAGGAATCTTCTTCAGGCCTTCGGCCAAATCACTAAATAAATAAATAGATAGATAAATAGATGAATAAATAAATAGATAAATAATTAGATTGATAGATAGATAGATAGATAGATAGATAGATAGATAGATAGATAGATAGATAGACAGACAGACAGATAGACAGACAGATAGATAGATAGATAGATAGATAGATAGATAGATAGATAGATAGATAGATAGATAGATAGATAGATAGATAGATAGATAGATAGATAGATAGATAGATAGATAAAAAGCAGGTTAAAAAGTAATGTAAAAAAAAAAAAAAACAAAAAAAAAAAACAAACCTGAAAATTCAAGCAAATAAATGAACAAACTTACTAATGAGGCCTTCTTCCCTGTCTTGCAAGAGTGGCAATCCCAACAGGATGTTCTAGTCAATTATTTAAGAGTGCATGTGTTTTTTTGACACAAAACTACAAGATTATTTTTTTCCCCTTTTGTGCACATACTAAAAAAAACCTGGAAGGAGCATCCAGGAGCAGAAAACATTTGAAACAAGCCATCCTCTTTCATTTGTGATGTGAAGCTGGTGCTATCTCTTTTTAACGAGAGTCAGTTTGATAAAAAAGGTCACACTTCTCCATTCTGATGTGCCCTGTGGCTCCCGTCAGTTTAGAAGCATCTTTGGGAAAAGGCATGATTTGAAAGGTGGAGTTTTGTTAATCCAAAAACATTTCTTTGGCACCTATTTAGCTGGCCGATCCTGTGATTAAGGCCCTTTCCAGATTAGAGACATGCCTTGAATGGTAGATGGACTCTCTGTTCCATCCACAGTTCTTCAGCTTGTTTCAGTATCAGACATTACGTCCTATATCAGTGTTCATCTATCTAGCGATCTATCTACCTATATGTATGTGTGTATTTGGACTGCTCATTTTCCATTCTGCAGGGTGTTTTGTTTTGGTTGGTTGGTTGGTTGGATTTTTTTTTTTTTTTTTTTTCAGATCTACTTCATATAAAAACCCACTGCATCAAAGGTTTTCAAAGTTTCCTATTCTGTTAAGGCACCATAAGTAGGGCAGCCAAAGGAGATCAATTTTTCTTGTGTATGCTTGACAGCTTGATTACAGCAGGAATACTGGTGTTTGCTCTGGAGGTAAGAAAATGCAAACAGTCCTGCTGCTGTGCTACAGCTTCTCAAGCAAGCATGGTGTGCCAGGGGAGGGGAGCACACTGCAGCCTGCCACTGGGCAACAGAAAAGTGATCCTGCAAGAAAGCGTAACACTAAACTGAAAAGGTCTGAAAACAATTCTAGACATGGCTAGAAACCTCTGTCTTCAATTGCTTCATGTTAAAAAAAAAAAAAAAAAGAAAATGCCCGACATATCAAAAAAGGGTCTACATGTTATTTTTTCATCATTATTATTTTGAACCACTGAAAATCCATACACAATGTACCTTATTATTTTAAAGATCTGGTTATAACACACTTAGGCCAGGAAATTGAGTTAAGGCTGAACTTCTGTCCTTAATTCACCTTGTTGTGCCTAAGTATTGTAGATGATATAGTCCCATATGAGCTGCCAAATGATGTAGGCATAAGGAAGTGAGTTAAGAACATAATTCATTCTAAAAGGTCTGTTTTGTCTTGGCTTAAGGGAATTTATGATATTGTTTAAATTTTTCAAGTAAATACATATCAGTAATTCCCTTTCCAATGCACAACATTTAATGTAAGCTGTATATATCTGTGTATACATATTTGTATGTATATATGCATATATAGATATATAAAGTTACATGTATGTAAATGTATATATAGATATACATATATAGAGATATACAAAGTTATACCTAGAGGTATTAAAACACGGACTTCAAAAATTTAAGTAAGCTGTTCATGTTTGTGTGACAAAATAAGGGCACAGGAAGACATTGCAATCATATATCTTTAAAATCCATGCTATAGTAGAGAGGCAACATCGGCCTGAAGGTGGGGCAGGGCGTGGGTTAAATTTTAGAAGCTGCTTTCTCAAATATATACACAATTAAATGAAACATGAAGACTGTTTCACTTCTCTGGATAGAGATGATTTCAGTTTTCTGCAGGGTGGGAGCTGAGTTAGTCTCAGACCTGGGTCAGGCCTTATCCAGCTTCCACTCAACTTGGCACAAGCTGTCGCTGTGCACTAAGATAGATTTTGCACCAAACCCTATTAAATCAGTTCAGTTCACAGCGTTTATAAATTGCCATCATGCCCACCTTGCAATTTCAGGAAAACCTGTCTAGTCTGGATTGCTCATCTTTCTGAGGGTATCTGGCATGTTTAGCAAATCCCCCATCACTCTGCCCCAGGTACAGGCTGGCCTGCTCCGGCTGGGAACCGAGACTTACTAGTTGTTGAAAAGCAGGTTGGTCTATGTCACTCTGCAATGCAAAGTCACTCAGTACTTTCCAGGGCGGCTGGTAACTCTGCACCTCCACCGGGTTCGCCTGCAAACCTCCGTCATGTCTCTCCGGACTAGCTGCCACCATCGGAGTTCCTGTCATCCCCTGGATATTCTGTAAACAGCCCAGCAAAAGATGTTAATGAGCTTGGTTAACTTTATTGTATATAAGCGCTGAGTCAATAAACTGCTTTCTATCTTATCTATATGGTCGCTTGTATTTGCTTTGTTAATCTGCTGTGAATGTCTTACTCTATTCTACTCTAGGTCAGCCTATTTCTACCCGCTGCGTTTATCACGGTGGAAGTTTACTTTCTTTCCGTTTAATCCTCCCTATTTCTCTCAAGGCATACCCCTTCCGCCCCAGGCTTTCTTAAACACGAACACTCTGTATCTTGACTGCCGATGCATGTCTCGGCACAAGAAACGGTTAATCATGCTGCCTTTCTATTTCGCATCCAGGCTGGTTTTGGTTTGCGTGACCTTAACTGGATCGTATATCCACTGGATGGCAAACCTGAGGTACGTCAGTACCACGCTCTTTCCAGAAAAAGAAAAACAAAAACGAACAAAAAAAAACAAAACAAAACAAAACAAAACAAAACAAAACCACACACAAAACCCCCAAACAAAACAAACAAACAAACAAAACAAACAAAAAAAAAACACACAGGAGAAAGAAACCCCCGCCCTCTCAGTCTGCCCTGTGATGCAGGCGCTGTGTACAAGATAACTCCAAGCCTCGACGAATAGATTGTTCAGGCGGGTTAATAACATCGTGTTTTATTGCATTCCAACCGGGTAAAATGAAACTCCTTAAATTCCACTTAACTAGGCAGCCTTATGAATTAATAGGCATTCTCAGCTCAGTCAATATACATAGGGAGAATAACAGACTCTTCTTCAAGTTGACTAACAACAGAAAAAAAAAAAAAAAAAAAAAAAAGGAAAAGAAAATTGGCTTAAAATGGAGATAGCCAGTTTGCTCTTCTGAACCCAGCTCTTTCGGCTTGTTTGCATCACACGTGCATATGCTGTTAGACAAAAACTCAATATATTCTGCGTGAGAACTATATATATATATCTTAAGTAACCTGAAAACACGATGGTAATTCCAAACACTTTGCATTGCATTTGTCTTTTTCTACAGTAAGTGGACTGAGAAACACACACATATGCATTGTAGTATTTAAAGTGCTAAGAAATACACTAAATTTCCCTTTTACTCATGGGTTTTACTTCTGTGTTTATTCCCCTGTAAAACCTTTGAAGAGGGCAAAAGCGTTATTTTTCCCTCAAGGAGTCTTTTGCATTTGCAATATAAATATTACACAAGGCTGGGCGTATTACATCCCATAAATCTGCAGGTCGCAATTCACGCTGTAGAGAAGTTAGTCTAATCCACTGCGTATCCTCAGCCCCAGAGAAAGACGTGTTCCCTTGAGCTGCCTATATCGGCTTCTCGCTGTGATCTGTTTTAATTGCAGTGACAGCAGAAACAAGCGGATAATAGTTAAACGGTATCATTTTCTTTGTTTTAAGGGAGGTCCCACAAAATCAAAAGTGTCAAACCGCCCCCAGAGGCTGGCGGGGCTGGACATAGCCCGGGCATTTCTCCTTGGGAAGGAAGGTAGAGCACGGTCAAAGGCTGAAGCCACTTACAGTTTTGTCATTGGGTTGCTGCTGCTGAAGCTGCTTCATCATAATGCTCCTTTTTTTGTCCTTGCACCGCTTGTTTTGAAACCAAACCCTGATGACCCTCGGGCTGAGGCCAGTCATTTCTACCAGTTGCTCTTTCATGAGGGCGTCAGGTCTGGGGTTGGCAGCATAGCAGGTCCTCAAGGTGTGAAGCTGTTTTTCATTAAGGACAGTCCGGACTCGGGTGGTCTTCTCGGGCTGCTTGTGGACGTGCGGCCGCAGAGCTGGCTGTCTGGCAGAGATAGGTTCTGCTGTAAGGGAAGGGGAAGGGAGGAACAGGATCCCCATGAGTAGGAAGCAGGGAGCCTGCAGAGGCTATGAATCTAAGCTGGTGGGACAGGGGGAGGTGGGGGGGGGTGGTGGTGGTGGTGCTGATGAACCCTCTTTCAAAGGCCATTCAGGCAGTCAGATCTATCGGAGCTCCTGCAGCCTCCTCTGCTTTATGCGCTGGTGGAGTGACATGACTGACATTTCTGACTCCACAGATAATTAATTTGCAAAAACAAACCACCCCCCTAAACCCCTTAATGACAGAAGCTTGAACCTCTATGAGATTTGACAGGGGAGGGCGAGTTCGCTAAGGTGTGCGTGCGCTAGGGAAGGAGGGGGAGGGTTTTATGTATCTATTTCCTGACAAGTTACCAACATAGATTTTTGGCCTGAAAATTAATGAAATAATACTTCTTAAATTAATCATAATCTGGGTCTGCTTCTTGTATAGTGAATCTAGCCCAGTTTAGCCAGAGGCTGCGGTAATGTGTAACAGCTCCCGGCAGTTTGATGCTTCCAAATGAAAGCAAAACAAGCCAAATTCCCTGCACTGTGACCGCGGAGGAAAATCCTGTGAGCGCCCCGTGTCCCACGGCTCAGGAGACGGAGGTCTATATTAGAAAGTGGAGTTGCTAGGTGAATTTATGTCGAGTTTTGATTAAAGCTTCAAAAAATATGAGTGTTTTGCCAATTCTTTAAGAGGGGAACTAGGCTAGCAACTCGTGGAAACCTTCAAGAAATGCAAACTTACGGGTAGCATCACATCAAGAGCTAAAAGTATTTGTATTATTTTGCTATTCTTCTGTGTATTATATAGCTGTAGTTATCTAGATGTAATTTGACCTAGTCAAGGGGAAAAAAAAAGAAACAAAAAAAACCCCAAACACTACTTTTTTTTTTTTTTTTTTTTTTTTTTTTTTTTTCCCCTAGAACTGGTTATCTAATATTCAGAACTGCTCACTTTTGTACAGTCGGGTTCCGACTTTTCTGATTACAACAATAAATCAGTAAATGCGATGAAGAAAATACAAAGGTTTCAAATCTTAACAGTATTGTACCTGCCGACAAAATATGCCTTTCAGAGACGTGCATGAACACGATATAGGGAGCACGTACAATCTCCCTAAAATTCTGCCGTGATCAGCTACGGGATTTCTTTCTCCCTGTGTATCGATATGTCACCTGAAAGCAGCTCCGGAGCGGGAAACAAGCCCGTTTAAACATAGCTGTGTTTGTAAATAACCTTTTGGGTTACAGCTACTTGCACAGCAATAACTACGGTCAACCTTGTATTGTCCAGGCTAGTTTGGCTCAGAGACGTGCCGCTTCCTAAAGCTAAGCGTCTCTGCGTATCTTATGTACCCGTCGAGAACTAAAAGTGTAAGTAAAGTTGTAAGGCGGGGCGACTCTGAAGTTGCAATGCTGAGTTTTAAGACGAAATTCTCATCAAGTCACACAAAACGTTTCGAGAAGGCAGAGTCACTTTAACAGGCAATTACCGAAGATTAGCTTGGTGACAGTTTTAAATTACAGCCTAAGTGCTCGCCTGTAGTTATGAAGTCTATCTCTTTTCGGCCCCCGCTTCCACCAGTGCTGGGAACAGCTTCGCCACACGCTCGGGGGGTAGCGGGGTCTGCGCTTTGCTGCAGACCTGCTCCCTGCCGCGGCTCGCCCCTCTCCGATTTAGGCTCCCACTGCCCCGGGCGCGGGGTGGGGGGACGGGACGGGACGATTCCCGCACGCGCTGCGCGGCGGGAGCAGGAGGGGCGCAGGCTGGCGGAGTGCGGTCCGCTGCGCAGGTGCCTCCGCCTCACGCGTGCCGTGTACGCGGGCGTTTCTCGCAGCGGACGGACCCGCGGCAGCCCCGGGCGTGGGGCGCGCCGCCACCGCCTCTCCGCGGGCGCGCACGCTCAGGGCCGCCTTTCCGCGGGGCCGCGGGACCCGCTGCAAGCGGCAGGGCCCCCCCTCCAGGCGCCGGGCCGGGCGGCGCCAGACCCCGCAGGCTTCCGCGGCGCCGGGTGCGGGCGGTACCTGCCATCTGCAGCGGCCGGGAGGGGTGCAGGGGGCTGAGGGGGTCCCCGGCGCCCAGGCTGGCCCGCTCCACCACGTCGTGGTCCGCCCGGCAGAAGAGGCCGTCCTCCCGCAGCGCGAATTCATCGCCGGGGATGAGCTGGCGGCTGCAGGCCACGCAGCGGAAACACTCGATGTGGTACACCTTGGCGCGGGCGCGCATCACGAAGTCATTCTTGCTGAAGCCGATGCTGCACTTGGCGCACTTGATGCCGTATAACCTGAGCAGGGCCCAGCCCAGAAAGAAGGAGAAGGGAGGGAAGGCAGGAGAGCACGGGAGGGGGGAGGGGAGGGCAGGGAAGGGCGGGTTTTGGGGGGGCGGAAGGGGGAAAGAAAGAAAGGGGAAAAAGAAAGAGAAAGATTTTCACTCCTGCACATGGGCAGCCCCGTGGCCCCGAGTAGACGCGCCACACGCAGTCCACTAGATAAACAAGCCTTGAAAATACAGAGGACGTAAGAGGAAATGTATAAAGCAGATTCGTTTGCGGTCACTACCCTGATCCCCAGCCGCAAAAGTCGGTGGGGACTCGGACACTCCAGTGGGCAGTGAGTGGTGGGAAGGAAGGGGTGGTGGAGGTGGAAGGAGAAACAGCGGGAGAAACTAAAAGTAGCGACCCCCTTCCCTCCTGAGGACAGGCTGATCTCTCCCTCCTGCCCCAGAGCCCGGGCGGGGGGACCTGACCCGGGCGCCTGCTCAGGGCGAGGGAACCTGACCAAGCCCGGCCCGGGGCTGAACCGGACCGCCCGAGTACAGCGGGGAAAGGCGAGACTGGCGAAGCTGCCGTCCACTATCCACGCAGAAACGATCCAGCCTCACCAAATGAAGTCATTTTTGCGAGGAACCCACTCCGGACTCCTGCCGCTTCACGCGCGCCCGGGCTGCTGGCAGCTTAAGCCTTTGGGACGCTGCAGGGGTGGCTCTAACCCTTATCCCCTCTCAACAGGTTATTTTACAGAACAATATAGGCAGACACACACACACCCCTTATGTTATATACACGCTCACACATACAGCCGTGTAACTCCCCTCCACTGCCCCCTACGAAAAGGCGTTTTGGGTGCTTTGGTTCTGCATCCTGACCCTACCTCAGCCTCCCTGCCCCGTCTCCACTCTTGCTGGCGCTCCCACCTTGAGCCGGGGCAGGCAGGAGTTGAAAGGGCAGCTTCTTGCTGACAGCCCCACGCGGCAAATAATGGGCTTCTGGAGTGGGTGGCGGGCTTCTCGTTTCCCGTGTAGGAGAGGGGAACATTTACCCATCAGTGGATGAACATGAGAAAGTGCTCTAACTCGGGTGCCTAGAACTGCAGAGTCTCTCGGCTCCCACCCAGTGCTCCTTAGCAGCCTCCTTGGTACTAAGTAAAATTACCATCTTCCCGAAGACATAGGGACACACGCACATATGCACGCACACGGTCCACAGAACTGTAAAAGCTGTTCCTAAAACATCCTTACACACTTCCTCACCAGTGCACTTCCTTAGAGATACAGTTTGTGATGTATGGTTGTGGGTAGAGATGTTTATTTACACACATCTTTAGCTGCTCTACCTATAGAGCTGTACTAAACCTATATTCAGAGCTACATATCTCCGAATTATAAGGGATTGAGAAGAAAAAATCCCAAACAACTAAATTGCAAAGGAACAGAGTGATCGCAAAGCCTATGCATTAATTGGTACAACAGTTGGGGGGTTGCCCACATGTCTGACAATTATAGATTGACTCACTGTCTAATTCAAAGTCGACTTGCACATAACGCATATCTTACTTTTTAAATTGTAGCAAATTAAATATATAGCGTATTAACTTAAAAGAGCTGGATTTTTTTGTTGCTGTTGTTTAATTTCACCCGATGAGTTCTAGCAGGAGGTAGGTGAGCACCTCAATCCAAACGTTTTCCTTTCATTCGAAATTAGTGAAAGGACAACATTTAAAAGCACAGCTCCGAAGTGCATTTAAAAGTAAAGGGGGTGGGGGGGGTGGGGGTGGGGGGTGGAAACGTGGGCGTTTTTCGCCACAGTAAAACTTTGAGAATAATCTCATAACATGGCTTGAAGGAATGATCTGTTTATGAATTGTGCACTGGAGAAGGAAAGACTCAAGTGCTTCATTTCAATTCAGAATTACAAAGAAACTAGAAAAGATATCTTAGATGACTGGGTAGGTACTTGTTTCCAAACCTTTTAGTAAAAAAAATCTGTCCATACCTCAGTGTCATACAAAGTTTTGGTTTGGCAAACCCGGTAGACGACACTGAAACGGATCAGCATGACCCAGGATCACAAATAAAATAAACACACTCGAAATTCCTGGTTTGGTTTCTCTGTAGTGTCAGGTTTGGCAACTCTCACATTTTATCAGTTACCAGATTTTAATGTGAGGAAGGAAGCGGTTCCATTATCTAAATATACCCAATTGTTCGCGAACAGATGATGGGCAATTTGATCTGCTCTGTCTAATTCATCAGTACAGATAAGATAAGAAAGAAAAGGCAGTCAGATATCATCAAAGGGGTTAATATTTAAAAAGATTAAATGTCACTTATTTTAGCGAAGAAACATTTCGGTCTAGGTTTTAACCTCTTTAGAAAAGGTTCCTTCATTCTGAAAGAAACTTCGGTTTTGTTATTTTTTTTTTTCTTTTGTTGTTGTTGTTGTTTTGATAGGCCTAGTTTAAACGGGGGGGGGGGGGGGGGGGGAAGAGTTGCCAGTGTATTTATTTTTATGGCATACATGCTTGAAGTGCCTTTCTTATGAATGTCATTATGCCTTTGCAAAAACAGAGAGATGCATTTCTCAGGTTGTGCTAAAAAGCAATCAGATCTGTGTTGCTTATAATATCTACACAACTGAAAATATTCTCCATTACCTATGATTTCCCACTTTGTCATAATCTCAGGATGCATTGCCAAAATCCTCAGGAAGGTTTCACACAGTCTCTATCTCTTCTCGAATGTGTTTTTGATCATACAGAAAATCGCATTTGAATCTGCTGAACTCTAACTTTTTTCCTCTCCCGTCTAACTATGGGGAAATCATTTAAAAACATACCAAATGTCTTTTCATACTTTTTCGTACAAATTTTTCTCTTTCTGCCTCTGTCAGATTCATAAAGAAAAAAAAAAATCTCACCGAAGAATTAAACAACGTAAATGGCGTACCTGATATAATCTCTTTTACAGTAGGTTTTGCCATCCCTAACAAAGCACGTACAGGTCTCGTCCAAATACTGATTACACTCTGCACACTTCAAACACGCCGCATGCCATTCCAAATCCGGAGAAACCCTCAGAATATACTGATCATGAATTTGATTGCCGCAACCAACACATAGGGAAATCAGGCGTTTTTCTGAAATGAAAATAAATACATGATTGACTAACCATTTACTCTCCTACAGAGATAAACACACTTTTAGTGTCGTTCCCTTATAGGGCGTATTCTGAGAGTGTTGCTCTGTTGTTTTTTTTGTTTGTTTGTTTGTTTGTTTATTTGGTTTTTTCTTTTTAAATATTACACTTTTGGATGGTAATTGAAGTATGGCATCAAAACCTTGCCTCGTTTAGAAAGGAGGCGGAACATATGTTAAAATGCAGATGTGAACAGTCTTCGGGGTGAAGGTCCTCCTTTTGCAAGCCTCGCACAGAATCAAAACTCCGAACTCCCTCGTTGTTTTATTTTTATTTTATTGTTTGCTCGTTTGGATTTCTTGCCTTATGGGGAGAGAACCTATACTTTTGATTTCATTTTTAAAAAGACTCTGACTGGAAATGATGAACGCGTGGCTGGGTGCGCTTCTCATTCAGCCCTTTGCCACAGAAGAGGGGACTCGAGGCTGCTAGCAACAACAAGCATCATTACGGTTGTCACTTGCTCTCTTTTGCAAGTCTAATGCTAATTCCCCTAGATAGGGGTGCTAGCTAGGTGCTGGAGAGTCAGACAGCCTCACAGCAGTCTAGCACGAGGAAAATTTAAGGCTCCGTGGTTGGAGATCCCACTAAAATCCTGTCTGCTCTCCAAACTTTAAAAGAGAGCAGGACCCCGCGCTATTAACATACAAGGCTACAAGGTTAAAATACAGCAAGCATGCAGGCATGGCAACAAAGGCACTTTCTCTACCATTCTAATGAAGTTCAGTTCTTTAGCAGTTCGCCTGCCTGAGACGATTACAATAGACAGCACATTTATTCCAACAACGGTAAAAATTCCGCCTTACTTTTTGGTGGGTCTCCCATGTCTCCCATATCTGTAAGAGGGTGTAATGTCCACAGTGAAATGGTGTACGGTTTCGTTTTAAGACCCCAAAGTAGGTTTGAGAGCTGTCGCTAAAAATAATAATAATAATAATAATAATAATAATAATAATAATAACAATAATAATAATTAAAAAATATAAAAAAAGTAGAAGCAGTAATAACAAAATTAAAAAAAAAGACTCGAAATTAAAAAAAAAAAAAAAAAAAAAAAAAAAGGGCAAAACAGAACACCACCGGCGTGGGAGACACTGTCAGGGCTGCGGAGAGAAGGGGGCGCGGGGCGCGGCGCGGCGCCGGGGGCGCGGCGGGGTCCAGCCGCGGAGTCCGGCCGCGCGGCGCGGTGCGGCGCGGTGCGGTGCTGCGCGGAGCGGGAGCGGTGCAGTGCGGCGGCGCGGCGGTGCCGGACTGGGCGCTGGCGGCTCGGGCACTCGCCTCGCCCTTATCTCTTACTCAAACTTCTCTGCTCCAACTCAGCCGGCTCGCCATTGGCCTGACGTCATGCTCGGGGACGTCACGCCTGCGCGGCGCCCATTGGCTGCGGGCGGCGCGGCGCAGCTGTTCTGATTATCATATTTCAGCGTCTGGTGGCGCGGCGGCCCCGGCTCGGGCTCGCGGAGGCAACTTTTCCTCGCTCCTCATTTGTATTTCCCTTTATACTTTCTTCTTGTCGCTCTCCTCCGTCCCCGCCGCTTATCTCCCGTCACACCTTTCATTTTCCTTCCCGGCCCCGCTCGGGCTCCTCCACCCCTTCCCCCGCTCAGGCTCGCGGTGCCATATTTACCATTGGCTCTTTTTTTTTGTGTTTTGTTTTGTTTTGTTTTGGGGGGGAGTTGGGGTGGAAGGGGGGGGGGTGAGGGGAGGTGCGTGGTGTTAATCCAACTATTTGCTTTCCGAGGGTTTATCTTTCCTAGGCGGGAGCCACTGCTCCGGTTTGCCCAGGCGAAGCTGCCCTAAGCGGGGAGGGCGGGCAGGCGGTCTGGGTACGGCCCCAGCCATGAGAGGGGAGTGACTGTTTATGGTTGTCCTCCAGCCTCCTCCTCTCTTAAAATCGCGGATAAAAGCTTCGTGTATTTCTATTAAACAGAAGATCGAAGAAGGTACAAATATTTACCTTAAATTGTCTCTCAACACTCTCTCCATTCTATGTATGTTTTCTGATCCCTTTTAGATTTTTTTTTTCCCATTTATTTTAACCTCCCCAATCTGTAAATAGAAACTCATCCTGTGTTTAGACGGTTTCGTAGGTTGTCCGGGAATGGAGATTCGCGGAGAAAAGTGAAGTACTTCTGCCTTTCCCCGTGGAGAATCCCTTTAAATTCTCATTAAAAAAAAAAAAAAAAATGGAGGGAGAGGACGCGGAGTGCGCCGTTTGCGCGGCTCCGCGGAGCTGCTCCCTGGAGGCGATGTGGGGAGCCGGGACCCGAGACCCGCGGCCGGGTGCGGTGAGGTGCGGTGCCCGCGCCCCCGGCTGCGCACCGGCGCACGGCGCGCCCCAGCCCGCCCCGGCGGGCACTGGCCCCGGGGGCTGCGGGCACCGGCGGGCGGTGATCTGAAAGCCTCCCTAACCAGGCAAAACGCAACTTTCTCGTGGGCACGGATTTCTTTGTGTATGTGTTTCAGAGGGCAGGGCGGCACGCTGCCTTTCCTGCAGCCTGTGCGCGAAGCTGTATCCGCTCCCGAGAGCGTCCACCCCAAACCCTTCTGAATCCTCCCCCCGCCCGGTCTTCAACGTCCCCTTTGAGTTTGTTTAGATCCCATTTTTGTGTTCCGTTCCATACGGGCGGTTACACCGCCCTCATCAACGTAGTGTACAAATGCCCTCCAATCACTACTCATCAGGAAAATACAATTTGTTCAGAGTCCTGATATTTTTTTAAAAGACAGCCGCATTTGGGTGAAAGAACGGCAAAGTCATACTCACGCGGAATATCCTCCCGCGGGGAAATCGGGTTGCAATGAAGTGGCCAAGAAAAAGTTCTGAAACTGTCATTTGCTGATGAGACAGCTACTAAACAGACCTCCTCGGAGTCCTAACTTAGTTTGGAAGATGTTTTCCTTTCCGAAGCTGAGGGAGCAAACACCCCCTCCTGCTTTACTGCAGACAAGAAGTGGGACCCAGCGTTGCCACTTGTAGAGATAACTAAGCGGTCTTGAAATGATCTCGAGATAGTGTCAGGGGGTAAAGATACGGTTGTAAACACACACACGGAGTTACTTTACATATTCGACGTTTAAATAAACAGTGGTAAATGCCACTCTGCTAGGTGATCACTTCCACACCCGAGAAACTGGCGATGAACCTATACGTGGGGGTGCTTATGTACATGCATATAAATATATAGATCTACGACGCTAGGTTTTACGCACGCTTAATAATTCTGTGTGCTGTCTGAGTGAACCAAAAGCAATTATCGGGAATTATGGCCGATGCTGGCAGCTTCGGACAGCCTGGCACGCGCGGGGCCAGCCTCCAGCGGCGGCCAATTTCCCTCCAGCCGCCCCGGGCCACGGTGCCGTCGCGGCGCGTCCCCCGCCCGCGCCCCGGCGGCCCCTCCCGGTGCGCGGCGTGGGCGGCGTGGGCGGCCGGACCGCGGTGGGGGACCGGCCCTTCGCGGGGAGGCGCGGCGACCTCTGCTGGCCGCGGGGCGCGTTTTGGACCTTTTGTGCCTTTTTCCGCCCTGTGCTTTGCAAATACCACCTTCTGCCCACGCACTCCCACCCACCCCCCCCCCACACACCTACCCACCACCACCCCACACGGGTGACCTCGCGGGCTGCGAGCTAGCAAAAGATCCGAGTATTTAGGTTAAAAAAAAAAAAAAAAAAAAAAAGTCATCCCAATGATTGGGGGGAAAAAAAAAAACGCCACGGATTTTATAAGAGGCTGAAACAGAAAAGGTGTTTTTCTGTAGTGTGTCCTATGCATTTTTCCCCATAGATGTTTGTATTTCTTTTAAAAAATTGTCCTAATTAAAATACACCACTTCCCAGCTCTGAAATAACGCATCTTATTTTCTACCGTTTCATCTTTGTTTGAAAATAACTCAATCTGGTTTTAATTCTACTAACCCCCACCCCCTAATTTTGGGGGTTTTAACCACTGCTTCTGGGTGAGGTGATTGCATTTTAAGCTTGATCTCTCCAGATGATGTGCAATAAGCGAGAAACCTGTCTCCGCCCCAACAAACCAGGACTGGGAAGAAAAGGAGGGCTTTGATCAAAGGTTTTTTTTTTTTTTTTCCCTCCTGTGCTACTGATCTGCTTACTGTGTATTCGATTCGCGTTCCCAGGAAGGCAAAGCTCTATATTTAGCCAGCATCAGAATCGGGTTTAAGGGAGTGGAATAATGAGTGGAACTGCCAGTTTAAATGAATAAGGTATTTAGAGAAAAAACCTGATGAAGGATTTCTCTTTTATTATATACACGTGGATGGGAAGACATAAAGGGATTTGTAGATATTTGAGACACCTTCGAAAATATAAGTTAATTTTATTTTTTTTCTTTTTCCCTTTCCTCTTTTCTTATTTATTTACTTTTGGGTAGGGGACTAGGGGAGCCTGCTAAAAGTCGTTGTCTCTACACAGCAATCAATAGCTTTCATCACGCAGAGGGGCTCAAACGAGATTATATGCATTCGAGGGAAGGGAAGAAGAGGAAGAAAAAACAAAACAAAACAAAACAAACCAACCAACCAAACAAACCCCAAACAAACAAACAAACAAACAAAAAAAAACCAAACAAACCAACCCCCAAACTGACAACGACGATTAATCCTTTCAGCCCCGGAAAGAACAGCTATAAATTCGGTCCTGAGTTTCCTTAGTGCTGAAAACTAGGACGGCTTCCCAGGGAAGAAAAAATGGGGAGACAAAAACTCAGCTTCGGGAAATCTTTAAAGAGGTAGTGCTGGTTTCAGAAGGGAGGCAGCGTTAGGAACTGGGTGAGATGCCCTTTGCCGTCCAGGACTGGGGCAGTGCGGGGCTGCGGCGGCAGAGCCCCGGGCGCGGACGGGGCACTGGGGAGCTCCCCGCCCGCCCCCCCGGGGCCTGTCGCGGTCACCAACCCTGGGCTCAAGCCCGGGGACCCCTCCGTGGGAGACAGCCAGGTCCCCACACGCACAGCGACTCGGACCCCGGTTGGGAGGGCTGTTTCTGTCCCGCTGCATCTCAGTGGCTCAGCTCAGCCTCGTCACTCGGGCAAGCAGAAAGCCAGCTCCGGCTTAAAACTTTTCTTGAGGAGCTTTGGGCCAGAAAGATGCTTTGCGAGAACAGTTTGGGTTTGGGCTCCCAGGGGTTCAGATCTCCCCTCGCTGCCTTGAGGGATGCGGCAAGGACACCAGGGCTGAGCCCGTGCGTTGTGCCGACAGGGGAAAGGAGTTTCGCACAAGGCTGAAACTGGAAACAACGCAGCGGGGAAATCAATCACGAAATGTATTAGCTGCTCCCGGGTGTAGGTTTTGACTCATCTAGAGGTGTGCGATCTTTAATCTTCAAGTCTTAGCTACTGCATGTGAGGGAGAAGTGTACCGTAACAGCACCGAATCTATCAAAACACAGGAAAACCTGTCAGTGGGCTGCCTCGCGCCCAGGAAATCTTCGTGACTTTATTCATACAATTTGGCTTATTAAATCGCGCTACCGCTTAAAAAAAAAAAAAAAAAAAAAAAAAAAAAAAAAGTCATCCTTTCCCTCATAGAGCCTCCTCGGAGAGCACCAACTCTGTCACAGGACTAGCCAGCGGCACTGGCCTCCCTTTACTCCGGTCAAAACTGGACACACTACAACGCGGAGTGAAGTCAGGGGAGCAAGGTCTTCGGCAGTTGGGGGGAAACGCATCCCCAAAAATTCTGAGGGGAAAAAAACCCCAAAAGATGATAAGAAGGTGGCAGAGCACGAGTCAGGCCGAACGGTCCGGAGCGGGACTGAAAATGCCCAATTTCTCCTCAGCCCAGTGTCACCCGGCCTCATCAGCGGCAGACACGGGCGCGCTCGGGGGGCGAGGCGGGGCAGGGATATTTATTGCTTTAAACTTTCCCCTTTGTTATCTTCCCCGTGTCAGGAAGTGTTCGAGGACAGGAAATACGGCGGCGATTTTGTCTCCGGGGTGAAGAGAAATCTCTGGGTAGCGAGGGAGTTTAAGGCCCGCTTTCTAGTCCTGGCTCTGTCGGAGGTCCCGCCGGGGGGGTTCGGGCCCTTTCGTTCTCCCCGCGGGCCGTGGGGAGGGCAGAGCCCGGCCCCACGCCTGCCCCGAAGGGCGCCCGGTCCACGTCGGGGAACAAACTGCCGGGAGAGGGGGGATGAGAAGCAGAGGTAAAACTCTGTCCCCCACTAGTTTGTCTTGCCATGAGTGTGCGTGGGGGGATACCCTATTCCTACTCCCTCGTAAACAGGCTC